CTATATATTTTCAAACTAGGGCTCATTTAGTTACCTTAACAAACTAATTTCTATGGGGCTACAAAAATTACAATGAACACCTAATATTATTAGGAATCTACTGTAAAAATTTCAGGGCCAGTACTTCTACCAATTCATCACAATAATTCCCACAATTTCTTATTTTACCCATTTTAAATGCTTCAAATTAATTAGTCTACTCTAGAAAATTCTATGAAACTAAGTGAACAAAATACATTAGTAGATAGGTCATGATTTTATGAACCTAACAAAATTGGCTTCACAATTTTTTGTCAGCTACACAATTTTTTCTTAAATTTACAAATTTACCCTAGAAACTAATTTGGAAACGCTTTAGAAAAAGGAAAAGCCGGTGGCCAACAATTTCGGCCCAACAACCTAAACGGCCCGTGACGGAGGGCCCGCGCGTGCAGCAGGCTGGCCCAACAAGTGACCAGCGAGAGGTAGCCCGCACGCGCCCCACACCGCGTAACATATTATCACGCGGCATCATTGAGCACTATTACACCAGAGACAAGCTTTGCACTAAGGACCCCGAATGTTTCCGCCTTCACGACGGGGAGGTTCCTGCTCTACCCTGCGTTCGCCGGCATGGTGACCAGCGGCATGGACGGATGCACTAGGCACCCCGAGCTCGCTACCATGAGGGTAAGGAGATGACCTTTGCCTACCGCTAAGCGTGCACTCCTAGGTAGCGGTGGGGCGCTTAACAACGCACTACCGAGGGCTAGCCCCGGTGACAGGCGGAGCCATGCCATGCCGTGCTCGTTTCGGTGACCTAAGGCTCTATCGAGGTGGTGGCGGTCATGGATGAGCACCAGCAGCTCACCAGGGTTCGCGCTGCGGTGATGGTTGAGGCAGAGGAACGACGAGGTGACCTGGCCATGTGCGCCTGCATCGCACGACGGTGTGCCTAGTGTGACACCGGTGCGCCACCGCTCTGATGGTGGACTCCCTGGACAAAACAACGCGAGCACCAAGCGGAGGGGGTCAAGGCTAGTTTAAGGGTATGAGGAATTGAATTGCTACCAACTCTACGGCCTTACCTCCCTGATTTACCGGCGTGGCAGTGCACTAGGCCGGTGGCAAGAAAAACACCAAATTGGCTGCCAGCAGTTCACGGCTAGACTCGATGCGAGAGAGACGTCTAGCTAACTACCTAAACCACTCGTGAGTGTGAGGAATTGCTGCTAAGATGAGCGGTCAAAGAGAGAGGGGAGAAAAGCGATGGCTCTGCTCATGGCATGGCCAATGAACGAGCAGGCGAGCAGATACGATCGGATTAAGACGAGTGGGTTCGGTTGGCGATGGTAGTGCAAGCATGTGCACACGAGTGATGAAGCAGTGGGAGGGCTTAGCGCGATGCACTTGAGTTGGAGCAACCAAGGTTGAGCGGTCTCGTCGGTATCGGCTACCGGGGACAGGCGAGGCAGAGGGGCATCACCCTCGCCACAACGCGACCGGGGTCATTGACTCAAATGCGATGAACAGAGGGGCCATGCCGGGTTGCGATGTGGTAGTTGGATCGAGCGGCGAGACGGGCGCCACGTCGACCACACGGCGATCGCCGCGACATCGCCCTGGCCTACCCACGTCGTGGCCGCTAGCGCGCCCACGATGGCCACACGACAGTAGCCCAGCGGCTAGCCTGGCCTCGCAAAACATGACCGAGGCTAGCCCAGCCCAGTGCGCGATAGGCAGCCTTCAAGATCGGCCCTCGACACGGCCAAAGCCATGAATGACCAGGCAACGGTAGTGCACGGTGACCGTGAGCCCGGACCGAGCGGCTACTATCAGTGGCGTGCATGAATTTTAAAGCTCCAACCAAAACCAACCCAGCTCGGTTGAGACCAAACCAATTTGCCAAGGCTCAAGAGGGTCCTAAAGGCTATTCCAAGGAGCATCAAACGCAAACTTAGATAAACTACCGAGAGAGATAGAGACACGTCAAAATAGGTTCGTCAGGTCAGGTGCTAATTCACAAACAGAGCGCCAAAACCTGACCACAACGCGTTCTAACAAAGTTTGGGCAATTTTTACGAGAGCAATGTGATCTCCAACACGATTTCGACCTACACCATGCTCATGTACTCACTTTGGTACAACCAATAGTGCAAAAACATGAATCTAGTGTTTAAAAAATTTAATCAAAATTTAAATACCAAAACGGCATCGTCATTAGGTTTTCCGACTTGATCATTTAGTTCTAGAGGCTAGAATTAAATTCCAACTTCAATCCTTGAGCTATCAAAAATACTATTGAACAACATTTATTTATCGAAATAAAAGTTGCATTGTCATCTACCAAGTTTGTACTTCCAACTTTATTTAAGTGTCACATACATGTTCTATAGTATTTTTGTTTAATAAAAATTAGTTTTAAACCATAAGTGATATAACATGACTATTGAACCAACTTTTGTTTATCATTTTTGTTGATCGTTTTGAGTTACGGAAATTGATCTACACACTTTATCACATGCATTGACACATAAACATTATGCTCATGACATAGTTTAGCAAGTTGTTTAAGTGGTAACACCGAGGGTGTTACATCCAGTAGTTAGAAAGTGCTTCCTTGGTCAGCTTTGATGGCTACTCGCCATCGAGTCTGTCTCAAGTTGTTGTTTGAAACTTTTCCTCTTAATGAAATACGGTGAATGGCCCGATCGTGAAAAAAGTGTTTCATATGGATGTTGCAAAAATAGATCGTGATGTTGCAATGGTTGTACACATATGTTGCAAGCGTCCCAATTGTTTCATCTGCTTTTTCAGACGTATTTTGGATGTTGCATATGTTTCACGCATATGTTGCAAGAGTATGTTCGAAATATTTCAGTTGTTTCAGCCTTATATTGCGATAAGTGCTTTCATGTTGCAAACGTTTTATCTGGATGTTGTATATATTTCACACATATGTTGTAAGTGTATGTTTTAAATGTTTCATCTGCTTCAGACGTATGTTACATTCAAGTGTTATGTTGCAAGTGTTTTATGTTTCAGAGGTATATTCAAAGAGTCATGGGGCATGCCCCGGACGCCGTGGGAAGGGGCGCGGCAAGCCGGGGCCGACGGATGGGGTGCACGGCACGCCTGGGTCCTACGGACAGGCCATGCTCACCCTCGTCCCAGCTCCTGGGTCTCGCCCGCACGGAGACAGAGGAGGGGGTCAGGGGAAGGAGCGGTGAGCGGGGCAGGGTACGCATGCGTAGTGGGACGAGGCCGCCAGAAAAGGACTGTAGCGATACGGTAGAAGTGTGACGCGTGTCTACTAGACCGTTCGGTTCCTTTCAATCAGACGTTCGGGCGGCATCAATTCCCCTCGTGAGAAGGTGAAAGCACCCGTGTGTTCGTGTGCCTATGGCTAATGATCGTGCACTTCCCTCGGGCAGTAGTATCACACTGTTTAATCAGAAAATGGATAACCGCTGCGGGGCATAATCTCAAGATGTGCAAGCAGAAGCTATGGATCGTGCCTGATCGTCCTCTGAGCGTTGGAGTTTGCAGCAGATTCAGGGATGACTCGGGTGGAGCTGGAGACTGATGCATTATTGGTGGCCCGTTCCGTACTTGGGTGGCCTTTGTTAGTTTCGGATTTGGCATAAGCTCCGATCGGCTCACTATTGGAGGAGGTTAAATTTCGTATGTTTGTAAATTTCAAAAAAAATCAAATTAAATTGTACGAACACATATGCTCAGTGCTCATAACATACATGTTCTGTATGGTTCTCTTTTGATGCAGGCCCCCACTGGCCAATGCCGAGACGATACAAAGCATCTTTGTTTGGTTCCAGGCTATATCGGGCTATTAATTGGTTGCATAAACTTCTGATCCAGCAGAGACAACACATAAGCCAAAAGCAGCCAAGCTGCATCGCGCTAGTTAGGCCCACGAAATGGATTACAATCGAGAAATGGATTACAATCTCGTTTTTACGGGCGATGGGATAATCTTGTATGAGCTCAACCTGCCCCAAGTCGACATACAAACATTCAAATAATACTTTTGTGCATCCTATGGGCCAGCTTGACCCATGTCATATACGAGTGACTAAACAGGTTTAACTCTATGAATGCACGCATGTAACTTATCTCTTTGAGCGTCACTAAAAGATTCAATCGATAGATCTTAAAATTGACGAAGTCACCTCGAATTGCCTCGCTATCGATGAGTACATTGTTTACCCCTAAGAAAAGTATCATCAAATCCTAAAATTAGCCTAGAAAAAATACAAACATCACTTCATGTTTAGAATTCCGTAGCGCATAAAAAAACTACCGGACATTAGAGAAATCACTATTAAAAAAGCTAAGCACACATGTAGTGTGCTCTCGTTCAACCTGAAGAATCTGGGAAGACAGACAGGAGACCCAATCATCATTCAGTTCAATTCAATCCGCATAGGTAGATGGCTAACCACGCTTGCCGCGCGGTGCTACCCGTCTCCATGAACCGGGTTATGAACTACTTTGCTCTTGTTTGCGTAACCGGTATGGTACAACTGTACAAGAGAAGGTCGAAGTATTTTTTCCCAAAGTACAAGAGTATATATTGTGTCAATATACGCGCGAGCGCATGCTTCCATGGACACATGGGCTTTAGGATGACAGTCCTATGATACGGCCCACGTCGCATAACAACCAGCCACGACCCGAGTAACACTCGACGGGCCCGCACGCACCAGCAAGTCCAGCACCACAGGCCACAGCTCCCCTATCGCGGACGCGGCCGGCCGAAAAAACGTCGGCGTCGGCGTGACCGTCACGGCCCGTGCCCGTGCAGGCCCGTCGTCACACTCATACATCTCCTCCCCTGAGGCCCTGACCCTCAGCCGCCTATATTTCGACAACCACGTCGGTTTCGCCGGCTCTGCCTCGTCGTGACGTCGCGTGTCCGGCCGAGGAGGAAAGCAACTAGGCAGCCAGTCACCACACGCGCGCGCGCGCGCCAGCGCCACCCGATCGAGATCCGTCGGCCTATGTCGGAGTCGGGCCCGGCCGCCGACGCGCGGGCGAGTGTCGCGCCGGCGCCGGCCGCAGCCGATGGCGACGCCGGGGCCGGGCCGGCTGACGCTGGCGGCGTGAGGTCCATGGTGGAGCGGTGGAAGATGGACGGCGCGCCGGCGCGGGCGCGGCTGCTGCTCCGGGCCCTGGCGTGGCTCTTTTCCCTCCTCGCCCTCGTTGTCATGGCGTCCAACCAGCACGGCGGCAGCCAGGATTTCCGCAAGTACCCTGAGTACAAGTCAGTACGCTAACCAAACCATTCTCGATCAACCATTGCAACAATCCATGGTACCGATCAAGTTCTGAGTCTCCGTGCAGCTACTGCCTGGGCATCTCGATCGTGGCGTGGCTGTACGCCACGGCGCAAGTCCTGCGCGACGTCCACCGCCTCAGCTCCGGGCGGGACCTCATCGCTCCGAGGAAGGCGTCGGCCGTCGTCGACTTCGCCGGAGACCAGGTTGGGTTCGTCCGGTGCGCCGTGCGCGTGTGCCCGCGCGTCGCGGGGATCGCAGCCATCCGATCCAACCACCGATGCCCAACCTGGCAGCGTCGTGTCGCCAACCGCCGCCGAATACTATACGTTTCTTGTCTGTCTCGCTTTTTTCTGATGGAAAAACTGGGAACCTTGGTGCAGGTCGTCGCTTACTTCTTGATATCGGCGATGTCCGCGGCGGCGCCGGTGACGGACTACATGCGCCAGGCGGCGGACAACCTGTTCACCGACTCGGCGGCGGCGGCAATCAGCATGACCTTCTTCGCGTTCGTGGCCATCGGCCTCTCTGCTCTCGTTTCCGGGTACAACCTCTCCATGGAGACTCTTGTATAGCCTGTAAATCACAACTCTCCATTTCATGTGTCAGGGCACGTTACCCGACCTCAACATTGTGCATATCCAATTGTTTGTTGAGCACTTTTTTTCCTCTGATAAAGAAGTGTTATTCATCACTGATCAACAAATTAGTCAAAGCGGGTGTAATGGATTTCAGATTTTTGTAACCCAAGGTCTGCTATGCTGTGTGGAAAGTGAAATCGATGTCTACTATGATGTGCGGAATCGATGATGCCATTAACCTGCCTTTTCAGAAAATGAAATAACTGTTTACTTGTAACTACTGTTTAATTTACATAGACCATGCATGCTATCCTAGGATCATGCCAACCGCAACAGCCTTTGCTGCTGGGAGAGACAGGCCGGTATACAAACAATCGGTCGAAAGAATACAGAAAGAAAAATGAAAGAAGGATTCTGGACGTATACTATACACAAGACTAACATTACATTACTAACAAAAACGATGACATGGCTGTGCATCCCCAACCTGTCCCCAATGTTCTTGAGGAATTGGTACCAAGAGGGCAAAAGGTGGGCATTATGTATCACTCCAACTATCTGCGTCTTCATCGTCACTTCCCACTGCCTGTTACATGAGATGAACAAGAGAGATCGGCAAAAGGCCAACATTAACATCAAAATGGAAGCTAACTTGTCGCGAATGAAGCTGAAGTTAAGCGCAGAGAGACAACCTGTCGGATGGCATTTGCCTTTTCTATGATAGCGGCAACCTTCAAGTTTCTAGTACTGGTTCTAGCAGGGGATCTCATGGCTGTTGGCGTAGCTGGAGCAACTGGTTTCAAGCTGAAGGTCTGATCGGAAAGTAAACAGCAAACAAGTTAGGGAGAATGCACACATATTTGAGTTTTAATTTTGTTTCTCAACGGAGAAAGCATTTCATTTGCCAACCTTGTTTCTTATCTGTTCTAGCAACATGTTTCTCTCATCAGGCTTCAGCTTGTCAGTTGATGGTGCAAGCTCTGAAACCTTTCTCATCTGCACAAATATAGATGGCGTTAGGTTAATACAGGGATCATAGCTACGACACAGAAAAAAAATATATCAGGATGAAGGCAAATTACCGAGCTTCTATCATGAGCAGCAACAGCATCAACGAGTGGATTCCTTGGGATGTTTTTTATCGAAACAGGCTTCCTGATTAAATGATTGTCAGCGATATTTGGCTCAAATGGGCTCTCTTCTACTAAAATACCATATTTAGGATGAAGCATCTGAGGTCCAACAGTCCATCCCATCACAGGCGGTTGCTCAGCATGCGCATAGCAACCTTCATCAAGGACAGTGACCAACTCACTTTTATCACCAGGCCATTCCAGTAACAGGCCTGGGTTGCTAGCCTGGTTTCTGTTTTCCATCTCTAAATTACATTGATCATGTGGATAATCTTGAGGTGCCATTGGTTCTAAGCTGAGCAATGGGCCTCCTGGTTGATCGTCCTCGGAGCTCCCAACATTATGTTCTTGTAAAAGTTGACTCTCTTGGCCATTCCCTTTCAACAGGGTGCCTGGTGCAGAATGCTTTGCTGTGTCTGAAGGTGCCTCACTTGTACCAGACTGATGCTGAACACCGTCCTCTGATGCATTTGTAATATGCTCTTCATGGTCTGAAGTCTCTGAGGACGATTCACCATGCTGAGGTTGCTGGTAACACCTATTTTCAGAAACATGTCCTTTTGTTGTGGTGCTTTCCATGCTGCCAACAGCATCCATTGACTTATCATCCCCAGATGCAGCTCCATGTGTTTGACTGGGATGCTCACTATTTTCTCTAGTGGCTGGTTGAGGGTCCTGCAGTTCATATGCAGGTAATGGAAACAGAGGGTCTGATGAGTATAAAGCTGTTCCATCTGTCATCCCAGAATCATCCAGATGTTCCTCATCTGCTGTTGTTGATGTGACCCCAGCATCCAGGTGTTCCTCAAGTCCTGTTGCTGATGAAGAAATATGCCCCTGTTGCTTAATGTCCTCTGAAGTCTCTAAGGATGGCCTGTGTTCAGTCCTTGCAACATCAGTTACTGCAACCCTGGTTGATGATCTTCCAAAATCTACATTTTGATCATTATGATCTATCAAAGAACTCTCACATTTATCTTCTTTGATTTCTTGAGAGGGTACTGGTTCTATAGATCTATCTGTTGGATCAAGCAAACCTAGCCTAATATCCATCTCTTGGCTTGATATCTGAACAGGATCTATTACCCTCGCAGGCTCAGTCATACAGCCTTTTCCACTCAGAAGTCCTAGCTGAGGCTTTCCAAGCCTCCACTGTAGAGGAGGGAGAGGGGGTGGTGCTTGAGGATCTTTGTAGGAATCAGTGGGTGGTGCTTGAGGAACTTTGTAGGAATCATTTTGAAATTGTACAGTGGGTGGCAGACCAGGAGACAACTGATACGTCTCCTCACTGCTAGGCATGGCAGAAATACAAGTCAACACTGTTGTGTCAGCTAGTACTGGTATATTTGAAGAACATGGTGCACTCTGGGAATCAAATTCAGTTGAGCAATCAGATTCCTTCACTGCTTGTGGAGCAACTCGAAAGTCTAATTCAGGGGGTGCATGAGTTTCCTGCTCTAGCTCCCCAGGAAGAAGGTTTGGTTGAGCATCTACAGATTCATCAATCTTATCTTTAATAACCAAACATGGAGTGACTTCAGAATCACGATCATCCGAGACATGGTCTTTTGATTTAAGATCCACTAAAGCGGAACTGCTCAAAGGAGGGCGATCTAATTCATGTAAATCCTCATCAGTTGAACATGGAGCGATTTGAGCATCATGTCCTTGTGGAACACAAACTTTTGATTCCCGATCCAGTTCATCACCATTGCTCAAAGGAGGACCATCCAGTTCGTCGATCTTCTCATCATGCAAAGGAAATGGAACGATTTGAGAATCATGTTCACCTGAGGTGCAACATTCTGACTTCTGTTCTGCTTGAAAAGAAGTCCTCAAAGAATGATGGAATGATTGGAGGATCATGTTCATTCTGACTTCTAGATTGTCCTTAGTGTCATCAACTGAAGGTGATGGAATGATTGGAGGATCAACTTCAAATCCACCAAAGGCACAAACTTCTGCCCCCTGGACTAGAACAGGTTTGCACAAAGGAAGGGCCTCATTCTTCTCACTAGTTGAACAGTGTGGAACATCTTGGTTGTCGTATTCATCCAAGGCACAGGCATGGACCTCTGGTTCCACTGGTACAGCGACATCCAGTCCATCTTGTTTTTCATTAATAGAAGAATGTGGAACAAGGCCGGCACGGATTTCTAGCTCTTGTTTCACTTCAACAATGTCGTTGCTTAAAGGAAAGCAGCATTCTTCACTAGTCTTCTCCTTATGCAGCAAAGGGGAACTACTACGAGAATCAACTCCAGACAAGCCATGCAGTTCCTGCTGTAAATCCACTGGAACAGAGAGAGTATTTAATTCAGGACTTCTGTTATCATAGGAAAACTCAGGATATTTTAAATGGGAATCTACTCCTGGTGCCTTGTCCTTGAGATCTTTACCAGAAACAGTCACTGATGTAGTGCCTTGTCTATCCACAGCACATGAACATTCAACACACTCAGAACAGAACTTAGAATGAACACAGGCTTCCTGATCTAACTTCACTGGCAAGGCAGAGTTATAACATGGAAAATCTGACTCTCTGACCAGAAAAGCATTTGGATTTTTGTTAGAATCTGAGGCTGGTTCACTGTGAGAACAGTCAGTGACAGATGAGAAATCTATCTCATGATATTCATGGCAGAAGGATCTGAAATCATCTTCAGTCATAATTTCTGATGGTAATGGCGCTTCATCAGGTGGAGTTGCAGGTTCCCAAAGGGCATCAGCAGTTATTCCCATATTGTCATGTTGTATTAGAAGTTCTGAAAGGAAATCCTCTTCTTCAGGGAAACATGGTTGGCAATTCATACTGGAAGATGGGTCAATTTGAGTATGGCTCATCAAGTAGGCAGGATCCAGGAACGGGTTTGTACTACTAGAATCTTGAGCGTGCATCCCCCACACCAAATCTTGATCAGCATCCACTGGTTGCTTCCCAACTGTGTTACTTTTCAGGGTTACTGCGCCATCCTTGTTCAAATCGCAGAGAGAGAGATCTTCAGCATTATGGCTGGCCTCTTCTAGTAATTCTTCTTGATAATCAGATTCTACTAGAAATTGTGTACCATCATCCCTGTCACTATATTTTTCACTTGTAGTCTCTACAATAAGAGGAGGGATATTGTCTGTCTGCAACATACTCTTCTTAGAGATATCTTCTCTTGATTCATCTACTGCCCCAAGATTTCTGTGAATAGCTTCCATTGTTTCCAAATCTTCCCTGGAAGGAGACTGTAGTTGCAAATCCGGCTTAGTGGCTTCTTCAGTTGAACTTGTAGCCAGAACCTCTGCCTTTTCAGGATGTATGTTAGCATCAATGAACTCTTTGGGAGGTACCACATCATCTGCAAATCCGCTAGTAGTTGATTCTTCTGCAACCGCAAATTCACCAACCTCCGGAATTTCTTCTGTTTCAGTCAATTCACGTTGCTCTACAAAGGAACTACTTGTGCTAGGTAGAAAGGTAGTACTAGGGGCTCGAGGGACACCAATCTCTAGTGCTTCGGTATCATCGCTGAATGCACAGGACGTGGGTGCAAGTGTCTCTCCTACATGAGATTCTGTCTCCTCTTGAGAAGCTAATACACCTGAAATGACTCCTGGAAGCTTTTGAGCATCAGTGAAATCCCTGGCCATGGCACATGCTTGCACAGAATCATCCTTGCATGTGTTGAGGCTAGTTGGACAAGTCCTTTGTTCAAGCACAACAATTTGATGGTCCTCTGCAACATGCTTATTGAAAGTAGTTGATAGGCTATCATCTAGTAAAGAGGGCATGTCTTCAGCAATATCATCATCATTTGATTCATACAGTACATTATTGTGGATGCTTGAATGTTTCTGTGCAATTCCTGCATAAACAGAACACCCATCCAAATAAAACATTCAAAATGCCTATCAAGTGAGGCATGCGATTATAGCATTTTTTGAAGCATTAAGGAAAAACATAAAGAATAATATCAACATACCATCTTGATACTCGTGGATGCCATCAGTATCCAAACCTGTTGGGGCCGTATCTGCAACAATTTCTTTACGAATTGTAACATTGTCCACTTCTACATCATTCATCCACATAACATGATCCTTATCTGGCAGCGATGCAAGTTTGTTAGGTGAACTTCCTGATTCTAAAGATCTGCCTTCTTCCAATTCTTTCTTCAACTCCTGCATTTCCTCTTGGTTCGGTTTGGTAGGGTGGAGAGACAAATCATCAGCAATCCCAGAACTGATTTTATCTTTGTCTTCTGAAACATCATTAGGTTTGCTCAATACCATTGAAATACCATCTAGTACAACATCCTGGACATGCTCCACTGGATGACGTACTTTATCGGTGTAATTGTTGCAGCCGATAACCATATCTAACCAGACAAGACAATAACTATGTTAGTAAACAAAAAATAGAGGTAAAGCAAAAACAAGAAAGTTATATTTTACTGTAACAAATGAGAATGTATTTTATCGAAAGACTTGCTACTTCAAGTAACAATTACCATCCAAGTTGCTAGATGTATCAGGTGACTGTTTATCAGAATTATGGATAGCAGCAGCATGATCATCACTCATAGAGTGAAAAGCTTCCTCCTTGTGCTGTAGACAACTAACGAGACCATCATTGTTTTGTGCATCGCCATTTTCAGAAACTACACTAGATGATGAGCTCACGTCCATTAGATCCACATCATTAGAAGGCTCTTCGTCTTTGGGCCAGTCAACACCATTCAATTGTCTGCCAGATTGTGAACCAGAGTTTGGACCATTAGTGGCTGACACTGTGGGAGCAGAATCACTTGAAAGTGGCAAGTCCATACAGGTTAGTTCTCCACCACTGCTTGAATTGTCCAACCCTGGTGACGAGTCTATTGCAGGACCTACTTCTGGAGGTTCTGCATACAATGCATTTTCACCTTCCTTGTTGTGACGGTTCAATTCAACCAGTTCAACACTGGCACTGGGATCACATTCAGTTTGCATTCCAGGATCTTCTTCGTCTTCCGAGTCCATGTCATTACAAGCATCGATGAAGTTGTCTTGATCACTCACAATGTCATCAGGCCTGCGGCCATCAATATCTTTCTGATCAGCAGGAACCCCAGCCAATAGGGGTTTCTCTTCACATGTCAAATGTGATCTGTTATTACTTTCTCCAACATCCAAGTTTGGACAGTCCTGCAGCTTTTCTGAGCCATGGACTATGCCATCTTGTTGTAAAGGTTCATGTTGTTTCCCCAGAATTCGTTTATCACCTAGCTCCAAGTAAGCTGACCCATCGGTAGGTTCAGATTTAGTCTCCACGGCATCAGATTCATTTACTGGAACAACTTTTGTCAGATCCAATTTACCAGAAGATTGAACAGGGTCACCAAAATTGTCCATTTCTCCAAAAGGAGATGCAGTTTCACTTGAGTCAGTTGATCTAAGTTTCACATTGTAATGCCTGGCCGAATATCTGGAGATGATTTTTTGCTGCGATGAAATTACTTCTTGCAGATGCTCCCGCCAGATTCTGCTAGCAGTTTTATGATAGGGACTCCGTGGTTGCCTGGATTTCAACTTTGTTGTCCTAGGTGGAACTTTTCTAGAAGTTCGATCCTTGGGGGTAATGTGAGGCCTACAGGTTTTGCACAAAAGTAATGTATCATAACATGGAAAAATTCAGTCTAAAATCATATCAGCTAAGACTTTCGGAAATTGGTTGTTTTAGATGAATCTGATGCTCAATAGTCATGCCCAAGAAAATGGCACCAAACTTACTCAGAGTTTGCAGTGAGTAATGATTCAAGAGTTGCCCCTTTCCTCCAACGCATGGCCTTCTTCTGAATAAACAACAAAGAAAGGTAAATAAGTTTTTGATTAAGGGCATTGTTCTCTCTGGAAATTATGGGGCCTCAAAGAACTGGTTGCATCCGGATCTACATAATGACATACTAGCAGAACAGGCATTTACTTGAGGGAAAAGGCCAGGTTCCAGTTTAAAAAACCACAAGGCAATATGAGATGACAGCTTCTTAGCTATTACCAATAAATCCCAAAATCTATCATCATCCTAATTTAATGTCTAATCCCATATACAATTTAATTAGCTTGACTATTATCCCCAATGTACACATTGATCCTCTTTTGGCAAGATCAATTAATTTAAAGGAAAACAATGCCAAGTCAACATAGTCACCATAATATGCAACCAGCTTCACAGGTTCTTTTTGTGAACAAAATAATCAAGAAGGCAAAGTCGCCAAGAAGTGGAAAACAATAATTGGCGAGTTAATTTAGTAAAATATTGGCAAGAATTGACTTTTTTTACTTACCTTAATTCTACGAGGTTTCTTTTCGATTAAAACATCCGTTTCTATCATGTTTGAGGCATGTTCCGTCTTGAAGAAAGAGGGGTCTGAATATCGTTTTAAGGAGGCTCCAGCACCAGCAACATCAAACCTGAAGAATAATCCTTGTGTGAAATTGCAGAAAACATTTAAATAGTAAATGTTCACAAAAACAACATCTACATACTTATCCAACGTGAACAATTGTGGTGGGCCACGGCATTCTTCATATGAATCCATAATGAAACGAGGCATATCTCCTTGTGTGATCACATTCTGATTAAGTTGAAGATTAGCACGCCACTCAATTCCTACAAGAGAATGTGGAGAGATTTTTTTAAAAAAGATAAAAAAAAATCCAAAAGAAATTAGCAAGGAGGTATGCAGAGCTTTTTTCGGCTAACCATCATCATGAGGGTAATTTGAGTGCTCAGTCTGAGATATAATAGCCTTTTCAACTGCTGGAAATTCTGCCTCTAATTGCTGCAACCGGAGCATTAAACCATGTCCTCTAGAAGCAGTAGCCATAACCTCTTCGTGAAGGTCATGAAAAATTTCAGCTGCAAACCTGTTGCACATGTACAATTCAGTATGAATGAGAAGCCAACTGTAAAACTGCATGTTCACTATTATGAGATGGGTGAGAAAGTATCAGAGATTAACAACTAAACTCCTATATTTTAAACAAGTTGACTACTTGGCTTGAGACTTTATCCAATACTTCTCTTAAGATCAAAACTTATCTAACGAGAATAGTTGGACTTTCATGTACACTGGTACTAACTAAAAAATAACATACAGAATTATTTTTTAAAAAGATACTGTGATTTTGCAACAACATTGAACTTGACTAGTTGAGCAAATGGGAACAGTAGCTGATGCAAAGATGTTCTGACAGACAAAACAGTAGTACCACCAACTCCTGAACAACAACTAAATATGATTTTTTTTTTTAAAAAAAAACATTAATGCTGAAGTTGAGCCAAAAATAGAACAGATATTCATTAGTAAAATTACGCCAAGCCAGTAGTTTGAATGACATATATAGTTAGTTAACAAAAAGCAAAGTGCCAGGCCACCATTATAGTCGCTTTTAAATAAAAAAAACACACGGAGTAAGCAGTAAAGTTTGGTTCAAACCGAACAACAACAAAAGGTCGAGAAAACAGCAACTATAGGCTATAGTGCAAATTCTTCTAATCGTCCTCAAATTACCCCAATTTTTAACGTGCAGACCAAAAGGATAGCAAAGTTCAGAGCTCTAATGGCAATGCATTCCTTCCACATACATTGCAAGCACTCTCATTGGATCAAGAAGTACTCCCTCCACTCCAAATTGTAAGACGTCTTGGCTTTTCTAATACATTGCTTATACTAAGTGTCTAGACATAGTGTAAGTGCATAGCAAAAGCTATGTATCTAGAAAAGCCAAAACATCTTACATTTGGAATGGAGGGAGTACTTCTTTGCAGATATGAGATTCACAACGCAATGCTCTTAGGTATTTCGCCAGTAGGAAACCCCAATAGTTATGCAAATTCTCCTTCAACAGACCCAACAAAGGTCAAATACTCTGATGAAGCCCTGATTATTGGCTGCAGAGATAGAAAACTGTGACCAAGCAAGGTCAAATACTTCACATTTTGCAGCGTCTTTCCACCTCAACCCATGTGCGCAAGTCAGTTGATATATATACCTATAAAACGTAGCAGATTTGACTTGCACAGCGAAATAGAAATATGCACTCCAAAGTCTAATCTCATCACTAGTGTTATGATCAGCTACTAGGCAAAACAAAAAAAATCTTTGGAAACACCTCTAATGCGCGCAACAAAGACGCCAGACAGTGTAATTCCCACATTCGCCCACCTCAGCACCCCTGAAATGGATGCAAATTCGATTCGCAGCCCCAGTTTGTGAGGAAATTCAAATGGCACTCCCTTAAAAACATTTCTAAAAAGAAAATCCAACAGCAGTGTCCGCTAAAAAAAAGTCTAACCATTGCCAGCGAAATGCAACTTGAAAACAAAACGAAGAAGGTGATTCCGTCGCACAACCGAGTCCCCTCAGATTGAGCGAATAAGCTGAGGAAGTCGCCAAAATTTGAACCAAATAAGTAACCAAACTACACTGCACTGTACACAAATATCTCCCAAAACAAAACGAAAGGCAACCAGCACCAATCGGCTGCGACAGAACAAGCCTCAGAAGAAGGAAAAAAACCACCGAAATCACAAGCTACCTACAGAGCAGCTTCAGCCGGCTTAGACAGTATTTTTCTCTCACAACTTCAGTCCACTTTAATACCAACCGAACAGGCTGAACCTACAGCTTTAACACAAAATCGGAGAGCAGGCAGCGCCACTCACTCCGCGAGATCTCCGAGCTGGCGGAGCACGCCGACGAGGCCGGCCATGGCGACGCCCTCGAGGAGCGCCTCCGGATCATCCTCCTCCCCGTCCCCGGGGGCCGCGTACATCTCCGGATCCGCCAGCCCATACTCGTTCCGTATCTGGTACCGTATCATCTCCGCCCGCCGAGAGCCCTCCGCCTCACCAGTGCCGTCCTTCCTCCCCGCCCTTCCCCTGCCCCTGAGCACCTCAGGACCCCGCCATTGGCGCGCGCGCCGCCCCGGAGAGCATCTGGTAGACTTCGCGGGGTGCGCTTAGCGCGTGAATTTTTCAGCGTGTCGACTGGCGAAGCGAGGAAGACGAGGCCCCGGAGTGAGGGTAACGAGATTTATACGGCTAGCACATTCTTTCACATCTATAACAGCGGCGTCACGGGCGGGCGGGGCGCTGACGACCGGGCCCCGCGCCCCTCGTGCCCCGTGAAGATATTCTTGTCCACTAGTACCGCGTGGGGCTCCGCAGGCTGCCAGGTGGGCCAGGATGGTGGGCCTTCACGCGGGGCCTCGTTGCTTGCTGATATTTGGACGTTATTTAGACTATCTCCAGCCACACCATCTAAAATTCAAGATTCATTTAACATCTGGTTAGCATTACAGTTAATGGTTCAGTACCCATTCGATATTCTCTCCAACAACAAGACTCAAAAGAGAATTTTTTCTATAAATATGTTTTCAGGAGAAAGGATACTCATATTTGGGTTTCAAAATGGATCTCCGTATAGGTCAGTTTAGATGGGGTGGTTTGGGTTTTGACGGTGGGGGCCCAGCGCTGAACCGTGCTGAGCTGGCAGGAGATGGGGTTATTTATTGTCTCGTGGACGTCGTAGACGCCTCATTTTGTTCGTCATCATCATTTTATTTGGGTTTCAGTTTCGTCCCGTCTAATCTCATCCGATATGGCAGCTAGCAAACTGCACCCAACAAGTGCGTTTGGTAAAGCTCCAGCGAAATAAAGCAGGCGGAGCAGCACCAAAGGCAGGTCGAACTGATCAGAGTTCAAGTGAGGCGAGCTACTAGCGGAGTGCACCCGGCAAGTACGGAGCGCACTATGCGCGTTAATTTCGGTGTTATCACTTGGTATCGGACGCTTTTAATGGCCGGTGACAGTGAGCTATCCCTTGGCACGCTCCTGTGGGCTGTGGACGAGACGTCACTGCAGCACGCCAGTACCGGCACAGCAGAGCACCGGTTAATTAGTTCCTCCCGAATTTTCTCCTGAAAGATCGAACCCCCGCTTTTTTTAGTGAAGGTGCTTGCTTTTGAAGTGTGTTTTGTTTTGCTTGTTTTTGTGATAAAGCGCTTTAAAGCTCGACTGGTTGGTTCTTCTTTTGCTACGCTAGCTACGCCTAGCTACCTGTTGCTGCAGAACAAAATAGTGAGCATGAGCTGTCCTCCTGTCTCTCTCGCTGCACGTTCTCATTTGGTATTGAGCTTCCACTCGGATCTCGGAAGCGTCACTACCCTACGCTTGCAGTCAACGTTTCTTATCAATCCGTCGGTCTGTATAGTACATGTCTTTTCGCTCACGGATACAGGTAAGGTAGCGTACCCAGCAGCAGAAGATCTGATGACGAACGTTTTTGTGTGATAGCAGCAGCAGAGATTTAATAAATCTGATGACGAATTTCCAACTAAACGTTTTTTTTTTACCTACATTTAATGCTCCAAAATGTGGGTTAAAATTGATTAAAAAAAAAACTTTGTTTGAGGTGATCTAAACCAGGCCTATTAAAAGAGTGAGGTGTGCCGTAGCACCTAACTGATGTGGACCACCGTAACCGTACCTTTTCGATGAAGTTTTTGGTTGGAATCATCGGCGCCGAGTAGTACACCGACTGGAAGTCTGCGACACCTGCAGCAGCTACAGGCCTACAGCTACAGCTCCGGAACTGGTGTTAGTTACGCATGCACCCTGTTCGTTTCCGTTTCAAAGACGAAAGAAAGAAGACATGTCTGTCTTTGAATCAGGTAAGCATACATGTGCAGAAGCAGAAGAACAGTGTCGACTGCACACCGCGCTGTCTTGATCGCCCTCCGGACGGAGATGGCTATGCGATCCAAATTCCAAGTTTTTTCACTCTCTCTTTATCACATCAATTTTTAGCCACTTGTATGAGTATTAAATGTAGGTAAAAAAATAACTAATTACACAGTTTAGTTGGAAATCACGAGATGAATCTTTTGAGCCTAGTTGGTCTACGATTGGACAATATTTGTCAAATAAGACAAAAATGATACTATTTATCAGGTTGAAAATTTTTGCAAAGAGAACGAGGCCTAACTACTCGGCAAAGGTTACGGTTTCCTGGTTTCAACGTTCACCCACAGAAACTGAGGCTGGCGAGCACGCAGCCAGGACCGAGGGGAGAGAGACGGTGTCTGTTGCTACAGAGGCTCCTTGGCCGTTTGCCGGCCGGGCACGAGATCGCGCTGCATGGCCGATGAGGAAGACGACGGCGTCAAGGACGGGCGTTTTGGCACCGAGCACCGCGGGAATAATTGCGCGCCGGGCCACTGGTCTGGCGGTTGGGCGTTAGCGCGCGCCTTGTCGCCGGGACCGGGCGGGCGGTCGCCACCGGCCACTGCCGCCGCCCTTACTCTTCTTTACCTGCTGGCTGTGGCTGCTGCGGTAGCTGGGGATGCATGGCGCCCTGCTGCCTGCCGGCTGCCGTACCGTGCGGAGCTGCTCGATCCGCAGGGAGACGAGATGAGCACGTGCCAGCGGTCAGTGACGGACACTGGCCAACACAGGAAAGGAAAGGAGCTCGCCGCCAGGTTGGGCCGTGCGCCTTCCTCCACAGATAAATTCCGGCCTCCTACACTGCACTGCGCCCGTGGGTTGGGCCGCGAATGGACCTAGTCTTGTGCATGGGCTTGCCACGGATTTGGAACGCGGACACGGGCATGTCGGCCCACTGAAAAAACTGCCTTGACGACTGCCGACCGGCGACCGCCACCGAAGTGGACGGCGGATCGGTTCATACCTTGTCGAACCCCTTCGATGTGTCAGAGTGCTGGTTTCTCGGGGAAAGAGAAGAAGAAAGGGAAAGAAAGCCACTACGCACGGAGGATTGGGTTCTTTATTATTAATCTCCTTTCGAGTGCCATGACACAGCTCGAGCTGTGATCATCAGATCACACGGGAATGAATAAAGATTAAAGAAGGAACGCCGAAAGAAAGAATGGACTAGAGAAAAGCGTGTCCATGCTCCATTCCACCTCTGCTGCTCACACGTGTACTACCTGACGAAGTGAACGTAGATTTGTCTTTGCTGAATTCCTTCTCCTCCTCTCCCCCTCCTATCATTAATTAGAAGAATCTGAGATCTAGATGCAGCAGCGCAATCTGAATTCTGAAACCGTGTTGTCAGCTTGCCAAGTTGCTTGCTTGTTTGTTTATCATCGTCAATTTGTTTATCATCGTCAAATTTGATGGTGGAAACCGAGCTGTCATTGCCAGTACCGCTGCTAGACTATAGGCACCTACCTGCCTGGGTCCGAGCGCCCACCTGGTCAAACTTGGCGGGGAGGGGAAGACGCCTCCGTGCGCCGAGTCTGGTGACTCTGGTCGCATCGCATCGCAACGCATTCGCATTCGCCCCTGCTTTCCTTCGCCGCAGCCGTCAGTCCGGCCCTCCCTAGCCCGTGCCTGCGCGCGCCGCGGCGGCGATGGATATGGAGATGGAGGACGCGGCGGTGCCGGCGCTGGCGGTGGTGGACGCGCGGTTCTGCGCGGCGGACGCGGCGACGCTGGCCGTGGCCAAGGCGCTGAGCATGTCCGGCAGCGACTTCGCCATCACGGACGCGGCCACGGGCGCCCTCGTGCTGCGCGTCGACGGCGTGCTCTTCAGCCTGCGCCGGTGCTGTGTCCTCGTCGACGCCGACCGCCACCCCGTCCTCACTGTCCAAGAATCGGTTTCCTTCTTTCCTCATCTATCGCTCGATTTGTTTCCTCATGTCCTCCTGTCCTGACGCGCGGGCACGGCTGCTTGGAACGCAGGCGCTGATGCTGAACACGCGGTGGAAGGTGTTCCGGGGCGACAGCACCCGCCGGCGGGACCTCATGTTCACCGTGGTGAAGACGTCCGTGATCCAGCTGCGGGGGTCCACCAAGGTCAGCGTCTTCCTCGCCAGCAACGACGCCGAGCAGGCCTGCGACTTCAGGATCACCGGCAGCTACCACGACGGCGCCTGCGCCGTCTCCCTCGGCGACTCCGACACCGTCATCGCCAAGGCAAGCGTGGAAGTGTCTCCTTCACATTTGCTTTCTTGGACAGTTGAACTGAGAATGGATTGGTTGCTTGCCTCAGATAGACCGGCGGTTCAGCGTGGTGAGCGCGCTTCTGGGGAAGAATTCGTACAGCGTCACCGTCAACCCGGGCATCGACTACGCCTTTGTCGTCGCGCTCGTCGTCATCCTCGACGAGATGCATTTCCAGCGATGACACGCATGTACGCTTCAGTTTTGGTTCCAAGCCCGCCGGCCGCCGCCTTCACTTCTGCTGCTCATTTGAATTTTTGGCCATCAGGGTCTGCATACAGTACGGAGAATGTAGTAATTTTGACGCCATTGGTGTTGCTCCATTTGGGGTTTCCTGTGGGTTGTGATTGGTTTGCCTTTGACAAGGCTGTCACAACGATAAGTACAATTTGAGAATGTCCCCTTTCTACAAGAACCTCCCAAGGAATGACTTTGTGCCAACGATACAAGTACCAGTACCTTGGTATGATAGAAGAGAGAATTCCCTCGTTGCCACTAAAAATTATAGAACTTTCTTCATTGTCATCAAATTTTTCAAATTTTCCTCATTGACATCAAATAATTTTTGTATTTCCCTAGTTGCCATTTCCGCTAAGACCTATTAAGTTATAGTCGCTCACAGCTCAAGATGGCAGCAGTTTGTTTCGCGGTTTTACGCGTTTAAGGCGGAAGACATTTTGCACCATGGGTATGTTATTGGACGAATTCTTGTACCCATCGGGTATCTGGGTAATGGTGTGGGTGTATACTACCCATACCATACATGACATACCAAAAACTCGCATAAAATAATATCCAACCGTCTACAATTTTAGCCCATATAAGCATATAGCCCATATTTGACCCATATAAGCATATAAGTATATATATTACGAAACTCCCTCAAACCCTAATCCTCATCCTCACGGACCTCACTCCTCCACTCCCCACCAGTCAGACGACCAGTGGCCGAATCGTGGCGTCGAGGACTCGAGGGCTCATGGCGCGACCCCACGTGCGTCCACTTGCCGCCCTCCGCTCTCCACCTCTGCATCTCTCTCTCTGCTGCTTTCTCTCCCAATCCCCACCACGCCGTCTCCGGGTCTCCACCGCCCACCCCACCAAACAAACGAGCACACCTAAGTCTAGTAGCCATGGTGGAGAACTCCTAATAGGACAAGATGATAGCCGGTGATGCTCTTCCTCAACCCTAACCTCGAAATCCATTGTTGCAGTTGCAGTTGTTCTTCTTGATCCTGTTTGCCTTCTGAGTCTCGACCCCGCCGTCCCGGGACGACGCCATCCTGCGACCGCCGGATCCGGAGGAGGCGACGAAGAAGAACGCATGCATGTGCACCGCCTACCCGACGCTGCCTGCCCTGTCGTCCCCCGCCACCTCCTACACAAGCCATCGCATCCGTGTCATCCCGCCGCTAAGCCAAAAGCGTCCTGTTGGTCCGTGGCCAAGAAGGTCATGGCCAAGAAGGCAATGCCAAGAAGGGTGGTCGGCCTCCCCATCTCCGACGAGCATATAGCCGCAATTGCTCGGAAAGTGCAAAATCAGCACCTCAAACGCAGCCTTGGGTAAGCAAAGATGACTTTCTCTCTGCTTTCGTGATATGTGCAAGATTGTGTATTGGTCTAGCAAAGATGATGGCTTTCATTGTGTGAGAGGTCCACGATGAACCAAAAACTAGTCTGTATGGCGTGTGATTTTTGCGTTTTGGGAAGTGAGGCCTTAACCTCAACTGTGACATCCGGTGGTTGAAATTATCTTGTGCTAAGTTGTTTCGGTGCCGGTGTTCTTCGTTCTTTTCTTCCTCCCTGTTGTTGCTTCGATCTCTTGGTCGAGATGGTTTTTAGTGATTTTGGTTGATCAATGACGACGATGATATGTGCTGATCGATTCCTCCAAGTAAACCTGTTCAATTTGGCACGAGCTCGTAGAGATCGATTTGTTTTTCATTTTTAGGAGGAAAACTGAGTTCTTGCACGAGATGGGGATTTCTCGGGATTTTGAGTTTGAGTTGAATTGGGCGATGATTCTTTCGGGATAGCTCCTCAATCTTGTTGTGATCCCCTCTGCAAGTTTTGGGAGCAAGTCGTTTTAATTTAGTTCGAATTTCCTTGGTTCCCGGTGCAGCCGCTTCTCTTCTGTTCTTGCGCGGGCTCTCGTATTCCAGGTCCGAGCAAATCACAGCAGCGTGCTTGCCCTTGGTGGGCTGCTCACCGAGCCGGTCCAAAGACGAGCCATCAACTACCAGAAGCGTGCTTGCATTGTAGGAGTAAGGCTTATTTTATTGTGTCCGTCCGCGATGATTTGTCACTGATCGATCCGTTGTCACTCCCCGCTAGGTGGTTTGGCCTCGATCTCGTGGTAGTCCGTAGAAGGCCCGCTTTGTTTGTTGTTTTGATTGATGGTGCCAATCATCCGTGCTTCTTCGGGCATGATGGTTCGATTGGTCTCATGATTATCTCGCTTAGTATAAATGTCCGTCCACGATCCTTGTGGTGGAGTTTGTTAACTGCTCGCATTTGTTTTTCTACTAGGCCGGGCTTTATGCTAGTCTGGATCGATCTATTTTTCGATTCTGTTTTGATTGATCGATAGGTTGGTGTCTTGTTGTCTATACATTTTGTTGGCCTTCGACCCTTGAAGAAATTGTTCGTCTTGTTGTAATTGATCGGCGGCCTGATTATGCTTGTCCTTAGTTGTTACATTAGGTTGTTTCTAACGTACATACTTTTATTGGGCACACTATCATTGAAATTTCATTGAATGTCGACTGAAATCATTATCTGTAAATTTCGATCAAAGTGCGTTGAACGCTTAATCTCTGTGGCTTTAAGTTCCAATGCAAAGTCACCGGTTCTTCGTCGAATGCGGGGTCGGTCTCGAGATAGACATGCATATGCTTGTTGCATCGAGTCGCCCTTGTTCTGACGTGCGTGGCCTTGTTAGTTTCTCTCGAGCGTTGGAGAGCACGTCTCCATTCGATTCGGCTCGTTAGTTAGCTCTTTTCATTTATGGAGCGAATTGCTCGATGTGCTTCCGCGGCTCGAACAAGATGCGCTCTTTGCTAGTGATGGGAGAGGTCACAAGTGCAAATCTTCGGATCAGGTAGGATCCTCGTCCGACCAATGATTCACGCCAATTGAGATATATGATGATGATGAAGAGGAAGAGATCATTCTTTGGTTCTAAGAGGAAGCTCAAATCGCCGCTTGGAATGAGTTCACAAAGTGCGTATTGGAATATGCAAATGTAACCATTGTGGGAAGAAACTTTCGTGCGTGGGGACTAACCATTTGAAGCATCACTTGAAGACTTGTGTGCCAAAAGAAGATCAAGCTTAATGGCGGACAATGGTACAAGCTGGTTTGAGATTTGATAGGAATGACAAGTCAACGCCGAGAACTTGCTTTGACCAATTTTTTTAGAAAAGAACTTAGTGCTGCTCCATGAGTCGTTTTGCAAAATCATGTCGAGTTCTGACGATATGGACAAGAAACAAAGGTATAAGATCTATGAGCCCACATCCTTTATGCCATTTGTATGAGCCCATATCAGCTTCCTAATATTATCTATTTCCTCTTTCAAATTCAACTCCAAGGGTGGCCATCACTACTGGCGTGATCGACAACCAAAAGAGAGCGTTATATGGCCATCACGGCGCAAATCTTGGAATCTTAGAAATATTCTTATGAGGTACTAACTTATTTCCTCGGCCACACATTAGGACATGCACCTGTTTGCTGATAGGTTCATTTGGGCGGATAGCCTCAGCGGACTTGCAATGAATCTGAAATTTATGTGTGCTAAAGTAATCCAATCCACAGCCCGTATAGAAAAGGGTATGATGCTTGGTTAAATCTTGAGGAAGATTGATGACGGTTTGGTTGACAAACTGTGAACAGGGCTAGCTGGGGAACCAGGAAACGCCGTTCCGTTTCATCAATGGCAGTGAAGGGAAGAAATTATATATATAGATGGCAGCCAGGGAAATAATATCTAACCATGTAACGGCAATGGCAATGAGGGGATCAAAATTTTCAAATAGATAACAGTGAGGGAAATCTATAATTTTTTTATCGCAATGAAGGAATTGCTATAGATTTTAGTGGCAATGAAGAAATTCTCTCATGGTAGAATGGTCAGTAGTTAGGCCGTAGCTATGCTTTTTTCTTCAAAAGAAAAGCGTTGCTGGAAGTTTTATTGGAAGGAGAGAAAAACACAGCCGGAGTGTCGGACCAGATTTTCTTTTTCCCCTTTGAAAGATCAGTGCAACGCTGACCTTCAGAGTTCATGACGCATCATCCATTCAAACATGGCGCACCGTGGTCCACCGTGCTGCTGGGAAAGAACGCGTACAGAGTCCGGGCATCTACTATGCCCACGAGATGCATTGTACTATTTACTAGCGACGATATATTTTTTAAGATAAGGGAATAGATCCTCTATGATCCACAGATGGTACACAACCGAGATAAAAAAAAAGGCCATAAGACTTGCAAACTATAAGAAAAGAAACAAAATACAATATCAGACCAACTAGTGAGCATAGCACGCAAAGGAAACTAGTCTGCAATTCGAAGCCAATCTCTTCACACGAAGTATTTGTCTAAAGGCTTTCTCATTATCGGTTTTATGCGGATTGCGGACCGTTCTTGCACTATTTGAGCCTAGATCTATTCGTGGGCTACCCGACCCAACGAACTCAATCCGACCCAACCCTATTGGCTCATTAGGCGGGCGTGGGCCGAGGTTTTTGACCCATGGGTGGAAAGTTCTAGTGCACATGGCATTGGTAGGGACTTGGTTCCATCTCACGTTGGTGGTCGACGGTGGGGAAGCCCCTTGGATTATCGGGTAAAGTGGCCCGATTGTTGGGTTGATATCATGAATGGTCAAAAGACCGAGTCGGTAGAGAAACCTCACGTGCGTGACTTGATCAGAGTCGCAAAAAGGAACAACGGTTGCGCCTCCCCCTGTTATACAAGGCTTATAAAAAGAAGGTTCCCTAACCCTCTCTGTAGCCAACGCAAACATTAGAGGTTAGCCAGACCCAAACCCTAAGTACCCAATCTAATCGAGCACTTGAGTAAAGGGGAAGGCTGTCGTCCCACGTCTCCTTCTCCGATCTCATTGACAAGGTCATCGCCACCATAGGTTGATCCTAGGAGGGAGTCGCCGCTGCCAGGAGGATATCGACAACAGGTACAACTACGGGATACAACATCACCACCTCTTTGCATCAACGCACGCATCACGTAGGCACGGTCCTCACACCTAAAATCTAATGACTTCCTCCTCTACTAATGAAGGTGTCGGGTTCATAAACCCGGGGTCCCCAATGGACCCGCTTCCCTACAAAACTCGGTCCAAAAGTAATCCAATCCACAACCCGTATAGAACCAGTGATGACGGTTTGGTTGACAAACTGTGAACAGGGCTATTAGCTGGGGAACCAGGAAACGCGCTCGTTTCATCAATGGCGATGCCCATATATATGATGAGTGGAAATAATATCTAACCATGTAACGGCAATGGCAAGATCACGATCCGATCCCGGATCGGCACCTCCGAAGGAATTGCTATAGATTTTAGTGGCAATGAAGAAATTCTCTCATCAGAGCCCCTTTTTTCCGGAAAGGCTCGGCCTGGAAGTTTTGGGGAGAGAAAACACAGCCGGAGTGTCGGACCAGATTTTCTTTTTCCCTTTGAAAGATCAGTGCCTGACCTTTTCTGACGCATCATCCATTCAAACATACGCCCGCGGTCCACCGTGCTGCTGGGAAAGAACGCGTACAGAGTCCGGGCATCGACTATGCCCACGAGATGCATTGTACTATTTACTAGCGACGATATATTTTTTTAAGATAAGGGAATGGAGCCTCTATGATCCACAGACCGAGACGGTACGAACCGAGATAAAAAAAAAAGACCATAAGACTTGCAAACTATAAGAAAAGAAACAAAATACAATATCAACGACCGAAGGAAACTAGTCTGCGATTCGAAGCCAATCTCTTCACACGAAGTATTTGTCTAAAGGCTTTCTCATTATCGGTTTTATGTGGATTGCCCGGGACTACTTGAGCCTAGATATATTCATGGGCTACCCGAGATAAGAACTCAATCGACCCGCTATTGGCTCATTAGGCCGGGCATGGGCGAGGTTTTTGACCCGTGGGTGGAAAGTTCTAGTGCACATGGCATTGGTAGGGACTTGGTTCCATCTCACGTTGGTGGTCGCGGTGGGGGAAGCCCTTGGATTATCGGGTAAAGTGATCCGATTGTTGGGTTGATATCATGAACGGTCAAAAGACCCGAGCGTAGAGAAACTCTCCGTCGACTTGATCGTCGCAAAAAGGAACAACGTTTGCCTCCCCCTGTTATACAAGGCTTATAAAAAGAAGGTTCCCTAACCCTCTCGTAGAGGAGAGGTTAGCGGACCCCAAGTACCCAATCTAATCGAGCACTTGAGTAAAGGGAAGGCTGTAAACTCCTTCTCCGATCTCATTGACGCATCGCCACCGTGGTTGATCCTAGGAGGAGTTGCCGTAGGATATCGGCAACGTACAACTACGGGATACAACATCACCACCTCTTTGCATCAATGCACGCATCACGTAGGCACGGTCCTCACACCTAAAATCTAATGACTTCCTCCTCTCTAATGAAGATAAACCCGGGTCCCCAATGGACCCGCTTCCCTGCAAACTCGCCAATGAGCAAATCAAAGACAGCGCAGCAGCCCAAATACACAATGGCGTGTCAAGACTACGATCCGGTCCCCGACCGCACCTCCGCCAGAGATCCGGGTCGTGATGAATAGTAGGTGGTGGCGCGATGGCGGTCCCTAAACAATAATGGAGGATGGACGCTCTTCGCTAACTTTCCCAACCGACACGGCGGGCCCGACCGAGAACATCCGGCGCTTTGCTGTCCGGCCCGGTGGCGTGAGCAACAAGACTAGACAGAGTCCGTATACACTCTCTCTCTCTCTCTTTCTCTCTGACTTGTAAGGCCATCCCCTTCAACTATAAAAGGGGATGCGCTCTCTCATAAAAGATGACGTACCGAAGTAATAACTCAACGGCGGCTATATCAGAAGCTAATTGCGAACACGGTCTCAATAGTCTCAACACATTTCAGCATGAACTCGGTGGTGGCGATGGCACATAGAGACGCACACAACGGCCATCCCGCACACATGGCGTGGAACAAGACTTAGCATACATTTGAGCCCCCCTTCAACGACTCGGCGACTCAGCGGCTACATAGGCTCGGTCTCAATAGTTCCACTCGGATTAGAGTCCGACCGAGCCTTTTACACCCCCGCTTCATTCCTCACTCATTTGTAACCTCCTCACAGCAAACTTCGAGCATCTGGGCTCAGGAATAAAATCACCAACCAACCTCAACTAGATGTAGGGCCCGTTGCCTAAACCAATATAAATTCTGTGTCATTGAGTGTTATGCCACATCCGATCACAACGCACGCCAAAACTACAAATATTTACTTGTTGGCCACATTTCGCACCTAATTAATCTAAGCCTAAGATATCCTAAATAGAACTAGAGATCCTGTTGTATAAGTAGCTAACCCTATGTTAATTCTAACACCGATCACTATTGTTACTAGTTGTTTGAGAGTTGTTGAAGGAAAGGAACTTAACAGTTTTTTTAACCGCCACCACTCTTTTGTAGAAGACCTCATTTCATTTCCAAGATGAGGTGAGGCTGTAGTGCGCTGAAGGAGTTAAAGTGTCCGAGAGAAAGAGTGTCCCATCAATGTAATTATGTTTTTGCTTTTTTAGCTGTGTTTATGTTATTAGGCGCTCTGCCTCGCATCTGTATATATGTTTTTTTCTTTGTTAGTTTTGTAACTCTCCTTCGTTAGAGGATGTTTGGTTGTCTAGGCGCTCCTAAAATTCATGTCATATCGAATGTTTAGATACTAATAAAGTTTTATAGATTAATTACTTCTTGAGCTGTGATTTTTAAACCTAATTAATCTATCATTAGCACATATTTACTGTAGCGTTGTCTGGACTAATTAAGCTTAGCCTCCCAAAATAACTTCCAAAAAAAGTGTTACAAAGTATATCACATTTTCTTCGTGCGTGGAGCGTTAAATGTGAAGCGAAAAAAAAACTAATTGCACAGTTTAGTTGGAAATTACGAGACGAACGTTTTGAGTCTAATTAGTCCATAAACTCAAATAAAAACGAAAGTTTTTCAAAATTCCCCAAACTAAACACGGGCTTAAAAGATTTAATTAGTGGCACGATCGGCAGCCGTTCCCTAAAAGAACCCAAACAGGCCCTTAATACACGATCAGCAGCCGTTCCCTTAAAAAAAAACTGTTGTGTTCTCCTGCTCCGTTTGCAGGATAAGTTCGTGTTGCGTCAAGAGTAGAACGTACGCATTCATGGACCGGCCGACTTTACGCTGGCCAATGAGTGGTCGATATGATTGGTGGGCCGGAAGCGATCAGCTGGATTACTGACGCCAATGGTTGCTGACCCCGGCCACGCCGACGTGGCGTCGGACCGCGTCAAAGTCAAACCGACCGGAGACCTCAACATCGTCATTTGCCTCGTCGGCTCGACGCCGACGATATATAGGCACCGCGCGCTCGGGTTCCCGGCTGGTGGTCAGGACTCGGAGAAGATGGATGCGCCAGCACCAGCCACACCGGCACCGGCACCGGCAGTGACGGCGGTGGTGGACGCGCGGTTCTGCGCGCTGGAGGCCACGGCGTTCGCGGTGACCAAGACGATCAGCCTGACAGGGCGCGACTTCACCGTCACGGACGCCGCCGGCGCCGCGGTGATGCAGGTGGAGGCCGCGGTGTTCGCGCTCCTGCGCAAGTCCCTCCTCCTCGACGCCGCGCGCCGCCCGGTGCTCACCATGCAGGACTCGGGCTACTTCATGGACACCAGGTGGGAGAGGTGTTCAGAGGGGACAGCACACAGCCGGAGGAACCTGCTCTTCGCCGCGGTGAAGTCGTCGGCGTTCCAGATCAGGACCAAGATCTACGTCTTCCTGGCCGGCAACGCCGCCGGCGAGGAGGCGCCTGACTTCGTCATCCGAGGCAGCTACTACGACGGCGCGTGCACCGTCTGTCGCGGCACCTCCGACGCCGCCATTGCTCAGGCGAGCAGCACCTTTCAGCTCCTAAAGACCTAAACCATACTATTTTTTCGTGATTTTTCACATTTGATTTGAGCTCATCATGTAAGTGTAACCGATTTTGATATACCGTGGGTTGTCCTGCAGATCACACGCCAAAACACCGCAGGGGGTGCACTGCTCGGGAGGCACACGTATACTGCGAGGATCAGCCCAGGCATAGACCGAGCGTTCATCCTTGCACTGACCGTCATTCTGGACGAGATGCATCACCACAGGTAGAACGTTAAGGTCCCCTCTGTTTCTCAAGGAAGACGTCAAAGATCAGAATTTCTGCCACTCGTGTTCCTTTCAATCTATCTCCACCGGCTAAGTGTTTTCTCAGTTTTGATGTGTATAACAGTGTTGTATGAACTTGATTATATTTTCAATTAAAGACTGTAAAAATTGATGTATGTCCCCATATAGGCATATGCTCACATGCATGATGCAGGCAAAATAATTTGACCATGAAAACAAACATCTAAGTGAGTAAACATGAAGTCGTGGTTTTGAGTTACTGGATAAATCTCCTTGCTACCATTTAGCTAAGAACATGCGGGAATATAAGAAATGATAAGTGATCTCTACTTGTAAGTAACCCAGCTATCATGAGCCTTTACGAGTGTAGTTAGTTCTTGGTGCATCTGCTTTGATTCAATTATATGGCTTAATTGCTATTCCCTGTACTAAAATTTCATCTGATCGAACAGCAAGTTCTTCGCTGTTCCAATGCAATGCATGGTGGGGAATGTTTTCCCCCTCTGTTTATGTAAAAAAAGAAACCTGCCTAGTATTGCCTGAATGTGAGATTCAGACGCCCAGGTCGAAGATTTGTCTCGTCCATCAGCCACTTTGGTGCCGTTTTAGGTTTGGTATTGGAAACCCCGTGGAATATGAGCCTTGACTTGCCACCAAATATCAGGACGTCACCAGATTCAAGATCAACCTCTAACATCGCCATACAAGAATTCTGCGGTCTCGCCTATCGAAAAAGAAACGACAGGCAATCCCTTGTCAAGGCTGCTCTTTGATTCGTCTTTGTCCTATCAAATAACACAATGGTACAATCCAGTGAGTAATCACCAAACAAGATCGCAAGATATGGCATTTCAATTGTTAGATCAGTGGAATTAAGGACGCCATACTAGAAATTCCTAAGAACATGAAATTCACATTTCGGAGGAAAAAAAAAGTAAAGCCTAGTAACTAGCTTCTGCTTTTATCTTGCCTACAGAACTGCAGGTGTCCATCCAAAAACAGCATTTAACGAATTAGCTAAGCAGGAATCAGTTTTCCATTCCTTTAAAAAAATAAGTAGCAGTCCAGGATTTAGATCATTGACTAGACTGATCTCAGATTGAAATTGCAATGTTCTGAAACTGATATTTGCATTATATCAACACAGAAAGAGTTTCTTTTGTACCTGATGAAGACACAACCTCCCACTACTGTTGTAGAAGTTAACAAGGCAGATATCCGGTGACATCGCAGGGATTTCTTGCACAGCATTGGCAGCTCCTTTTTGTTGTTTCAAAAATTCATTGGAAGCTTGGATGCCAACCATCAAACGGACGTCTATCTCCATATGAGTATGAATTTGGATCCCAGTTCTTCCCTAAGCACATCATCCACAGTCTGAGCATAGCACCATTTCGGTAGCCAGGTCTATAAAATCCCCCAGGACCAACACCAAGTTGCCGACAAAATTTGACAATTTTAACCTGATATAAGCAATAAAAACGTCAGGTATATACTTTCAGCAGTAAGTGTGCATTAGTTGACGTAATAATCAAATCAACAAACCACACACATTGATGGCAAATATGAAACCTATGATTTATGCAAGTTGCAGAAAAATATGCTGATAAGACATTGAAGACAACAAAGAAATGAGCACTCAAATTTTCAAAAGGAGAAAAATCGCATGGAGAATAACATTTCATACTCTTTATATTGCCCATAAACATTACTATTTCCTTAGATAAAATACTACTTTCAACGAGAAGATGTTTATGCAAAGATAAGGAGCTATTTTTGTTTTTTAAAAAAGAAGAAGTTTGCTCAGATAATGCCTGCATGATTGACTCTGTAATTACAACAATAATGTTGGTCCCTCGGCTGCCCTGCACAGGTAAGCAGTAACCTTACCAGCACACTCACTCACTATGGCTAGATGTAGAAGAAGATATTGAGAACAACTCACACACACAGCACAAGCCCAGCGCTGACCGAAAGCTCTGCTTCTGGATGTGACAAACTGAACTCTCTCTTTTTACCGAGTTACAGTGAGAAACTATATATACAACTCTACCCATCTAATCCTAGTACACAGACATTGCCAGGCTGCTACAGTGACTAGATTTGATAGCAGAGCTGACTTTGGCGCTTGCCCCTGCTGTGGCTACAGTGCGGCAGGGGAGCCTTTCGGTGCCTGCCCCTACCGCGGCTACAGTGCAGCAGCAGGGGAGCCCTTTCGACGTCTGCCCTTGTCGCGCGTACATAGGGAGAGCAGCAGATTACTTTAGAAATAACATGTGTAAACATAGTCATACCTGATCATCAGGCTTTATGAATCTTTTCAACAGAACCATCTCAGGTCTCAATTGCAATGGAGCTACATCCTTGGAACATTCCCTGTCTCGCCTTTTTTCTCTGGTGGTCTCGAGTATAGAAGGTTTTAACTTGACAGTGCATTTGTTAGCACTCATGCATATATCAAGTGGGGCAGCTCCAGAGTCAGATCCTGTACTACACTGACTGCTTATGGAGTCTACAGGTTTCTGTGGATGAACTGGTGTAACCAACTTTTGCAGTGAATCTTTGCTTCTAACCGAAGGAGAGAATGTACAGGCAGCCTGTTTTCGAGGTGCCGAAGAGCTTCCATAGACCTAATGGTAAAAATGGATTATCAGAAGCATGAAAAAGAAATTGAGGTTTGTCAAAAATATACCTACAATATCCAGCATTACCTGAATTCAAATTTAGAATTAATCACTAATCAGACAATTCTCAAATTTGAGGATCATACATCTTGTTGTTCCAGTTCAACTATAAAACTGCAACTCATATATTGTACAAGCAAGCATAAATATTCAATGTCCTAATTGCAGAGAAAGGACAGTGCTTGTGCGTCCCCCTAGAAAAAGGTTTAGAAAAGAGATGGTTCACAAATTCCCACTTAAAAAAGTGGTAAACCACGGAATCATCGGTAAACCATTCAACATTAAAAAAACAAATTCCCACCTCCTATCAAACCACGAACATGCAGCGAATAAGAAACTAACCCACGTGAACACTAAAACCGCCGCACCACACAACATGGCGTTATTTTTGCGATCCAGCAGCCCTACGTTGTATAGCAATCAACAGCGGCGAGGCCCAAGCGTTAGGGGCCGAAAATTGTGTGGCGATCGGCGTTTTGGCGGCCGAGAGAGGTTGGACCATCGCTGCACTTACCGATCCGTGAGGGGAACCGCCCTTCCGCGGCGGGGTGGAATTCGCCGGTTTCTTCTCACCGCGGCAGGCCATGAACGGGGAAACGGGAGCCGATCCGCGCCGAAGCGGAGGCGGCACTTGAAGAACAACTGCGTGCCGCGCGCGGGGACGAGGCGGGCGGCGCTTGATTGGGCGCGCGCGGCTCTACAACTCTCGAGACAGAGGAAGACGTGACTAGGAAGTCGGAAGGTTTTAGGCTTCTTGTGATTCTTTCTTCGCAAAAGCAACAACTAGCAAACCGACTCGGCCAGCTGTATACTGTAGTATTTACTGTATTCCTTTTCCGAACAAACATACCATGTATTATACTCCTACTCTTATCGGTAATATAACATTTTATAAAATGGAAAATGCATTTTTTTCTCGTAAAAGCAATTTCGTATTGAACACCGTATTTGTACAACGCAGTGCATTATGGGCTGTTTGGGCTGGTTTTCTTGAAGCCCAAGCTCTGTCACCCAGAAAAGAACGGCCCAACTGTCCAAATCAGAAAGGCCTGTCGTGCAATTGACGTTTGGCCCAGTCACAACGTGCAACTCTGCTATTGGGCCTACCGGTGACTTGTTGAGCGCAAAACAGAAGAGAAAGCCTAACAAGTTTTAGGGCTAATTTGGAAGAAAACGGGGAGGCACACCGCACACCTAGGGATGAATTTCGTAGGGATTCTAAGAGAATTTGAGTTTCCAAAGTAGCTCTCAGAGGCAAGTAAATCCTTGTCTTAGAGGAGGAGAGAAGAAAAAGAAGAAGATCAACTACCGTGTTTTTTAAGAAAAATTATAGGAATAATCCTCGTGAGTAGCCCTGAACACCTGCCACAAATATCGACATATATCTATATATAAGCATCCAATGCAAGAGATAATTATATTTCTTATGCAGATTTAGAAGGTTGTCTCCCTTATATTCGAGTGTTTTAGAGGCAAGTAGCACTCAGTTGTCCAAATCCACAAAACAACTGAAAACGTAAGCCAACAAAAATCGAGTTTTTTTTAATGTGACACACGATTTAGAGAGTGTCGAATACAAATTTAAGGGTTGTTAGTCCCGGTTGGAAACATGCCTAGCAGCCTCGTGTCTCAATTCACCTAGAATGAACCAGTTAGAATCAAATCCAATCAGACCAAGGAGCATCTAGTTCCAACCAGATTCGGTTCGAATCAGTTAGAAACCAATTCGAACCTATTTCCAACCACACTTAGTTTAAACCAATCACAAAAACCATTTTAAACGAGTTAGAACCTGGCCCAATAACCAAACTCAGTTTAAACCAAACCCCATAGGCCCATAAGTAACCAATTTCAACTAAACCAGGTTACGATCCACTTTGAAACCGGTCAAAACCTAGTTACTACTCCTCCGTTCTAAATTATAAGTTGTTTTGACGTCGCTTTGATTTTTTTTTATATATCCATTTTACTAACCCAAAAAATCTAAAAAAGTCAAAATGATTTATAATTTGGAACGAAGGATTACTTATTAATGGACACTAGTCAAAACCAATTCTAACCAAATCCAATAGCAAGATACAACGGCGTACATTAAAATCGTGTGCTAGACTGCTAGGGGGCTCTAAAACACTCAAGCATCATATAACATTTTCTCTAGTTTTATGCGGAAGTTTTTCTTTTCTACTGTTTCTTGGATGCTATATAGAGAATGTGTCGTGAATAATACACGTCAGGTGCTCATGGCTTCCCTATAAGAACCGTCATCACTAAAAAATTTCTTTTTTCTTACGAATAAATATTATTATATATTGGTACTTAGAGATGAATATAAAAGATAACATAGAATTTAATCACAGCTAATGCACCGCCTTAATTTAAATGTCATACATAAGCAATCGATCTACTCTTGGAGTCTTGGTTCACGTATACTCCATATGTTCTAAATTATAAGTTGTTTTGATTTTTTTTTTGTTACATCGATTCTGCTATGTATCAAGATATAATGTATGTCTAAATACATAGCAAATTTGATGTAAAAAAATCAAAACTTACTTAAGAAAACTATCTATTGCAAAAACAGAATTAGCTATGTACCACTGTATAGTAGTATAGTATATGTATATGTATATGTATATATATATGTATATACTGTTATTTGTATGAGCTTGATGTCCCTGTGCAGTAAGCGCGCGGCAAACAAGAGTCGACATGAACTCAAACAAGAGACGCTGTTGGGCGCCGATGCGACCTCCTCCTGATGCCGAGCACGGCGAGCAGCGCCCTCACGAGGCCAGCCGCCGCCTGGCACGACGCCCTCGGCCGGCACCTCCTCCCCTTCTTCAGCTGGGACGAGTGGTACGACGGCGGCGGCGATATTGGCGGGAGTTGATGATGAGCCGCCGTCATCTCGGCGGGCGCGGGCGACACGGCAGCCGTGGCGCCGCCGCCGCCGCCGCTCTTGGGCGTGCCGGGCTTGGACTCCCACAGGAACGGCACGGCGCCGGGCGCAGGCTGTAGTACACCCGGAACGACGCGGTGGCCAGGCTCGACCGCTCCATCGCTGCGGCCACCTCGGCGGCGACGCTGGCGGCTCTCCTCGTGGAGATCGGCCGCAGAACGAGCTGCTGCTGCTTGGGATCCATGAGCAAAAGCGTAGCTTTATTTCAGCTGCGGCAGGAATTTCACGGGAAACAGCGTGATGATTCCCCTGAAAACCACCCGACGCCGAGCATCACGCTTGCAATGCTCAGAGTGCGCAAAGCTTTGCAGCGCTCGGCGCCCGAGCAAGAGAAGCTTAGGACTTTATATATGCAGTGATGCTTTGACTTGTGCTAGGCTGGATCCGGTACGAAGCTGCTGCTGGCCACGCAGGCAGGAACATGAGGATAACGGAGAGCGTGAGTTGGAAGCTAGCTAGCTCCGATTCAATTCGATCATTTGATTAATTAATCGAGAATACGATAGAACTGATAGAACGTCTAGGTACAGATCTAGAGGGTAAAACTTAACTTAGATAAAAGACTTGTTAATGTACCTCACCAAATGGTAGTCGCAGCCATTGCGCCGCCAACGAAGTAGCAGCGACGTGATCTCGAGTGTCGGAGTAGAGGTAGCAACGCAGTGGTGGCGCGGTCCAGTGGCTTCCCGTCGCTCACAGCACACCCGTGGGATCGATCTAGGGTTAGGTCGTCGGTGGGATGCTGGTGGCTGTGGTCAACCTCGTGTCTTGAGCCCCAGCCCCCACCTCCTATTTAAGGTGCTGCGCGACGGAGGACCATCAGCCAGGAGTACGGTTGAGCGCCCCCGATCAGGGCGTGAATCAAAGGTTCAATTGTCCGTTGGGCCAACTTAATAGAGATCAACCTAACATTCTCTTCATTGATCTCACCTTATAACTTAAGCTCAACTTACTCTATCTTTTTCTCATTCCATCACAGATCAGTGCATAGAGCATGTCTCATCGTCACGGTCAGTTGTCATTAGATTTAACAACTACAATGCACCTCTCTGTTTTGAAACAGATTCTCAACTAGGCCCTTATTATCCAGAAATCATAGGCTTTTCCGTAAATCCATATCGATTGTGTGTTCTCTGAACGCACTGGGTGGTTAGCCTTTGGTAAACGGATCCACGAGTACTTGCTTGGTACTCATATGCTCAATGCTTTCAAAATGATTCTAGATTTTCTCATTTACAACATATAACTTAATGTCAATGTGTTTGGCAGCATACTTAACCTGTTGTCTTAGGAGTTAACTACTTTAAATGGTTATTGCTGTTGACTACCATTGTTAAATCCGGATACATATTCCCTTAACCACTTTTGTCTGTTCCTGAAGCCTCATGACAAGCTATGCTATGGTATGCATCATTGATGACACACAACTGTTTCTTTGGAGCTTTTCCACAATAATACTTCAACTGCGAGTGTTAACAACTACTGTAGATTTTACTACACATCTCTTCAAAAATCAACACTTGTACCCATAACTATTTGAGAGTACATATTCTTTCTTACTCAGCATGAGGCCTACGATACTTTGTAAAATTGCAAGACATTCTTAACTTTATTCCAGTGATCTATATCTGAACTGGACTTCTGCTAAAATATCCTGGATACATAAACTACGTTAGGGTAAGTTCTTACTTGTATTTATACACCCATCAAATTTCCAACAGCTAAAGCATATGGAACCATGTTTATTTGATCGATCTCATATCAGTTCCTGGAACACTGAAAGTTCCCAAAACTATTACCCTTGACTATAGGAGCAGGCGTAGGTTTACTCGCATGCATACTTTATTTCTTTAGAATCTTTTCTAAGTATGCCTTTGCGATAGTCGTAATACCATTTTTCTTCTATCTCGGTGAATTTCAATTTCTAGAACCAATGACGCTTCACCAAGATCATTCATATTGAAACTTTAGGACAAGAACTTCTTCATCTCTAATAGCAGATTAACATCACTACTAGTGAGTAGGATGTCATCTATACACGGAATGCGGAAAAAGAATTTTTCATTCTTGAACTTTGCATAAACGCTGTTGTCCTTCTCATTTTCTTTAAACCCCAAACTTTCTCTTTGTTTCATCAACTTCAAATACTACTGTCTATAGACTTATTTTAACACATAAATGAATTTCTACAGGCGGCGTCCCATACATTCTTTTGCTTCCACGACAAAACTTTTAGGTTGTGTCATGTAAACGTTTTCATATAAATCCCCATTGCGGAATGTCTGTCTTTACATCCATCTAATATAACTCTAAATCATAATGTGTCAATAACACTATTAGGATTCTAAAGAATCCTTGCATGAGACTAGAGAGAAAACTCTCATCGTAATCTATTCATTCTCTTTGCGTAAAGTCTTTTGCTATAATTCATGCTTTATATCTTTACACATTCTCTTTGGAGTCACATTTTGTATTGTAGATCCATTCATAGCATACAGTTTTGGCTCCATTAGGAATTTCTTCTAAGTCCCAAACATCGTTGGTATTCATCGAATTCATTTCAACTTCCATAACTTCTTGCCATTTAGATGAGTAAACACTTCTCACGACTTATTTAAATGAGGTGG